AAAAAAAAATCATCGTGCAGATCTTAAATTCGGCTACTGATCGGTGTCGTGATGTTTTTTAATGGTTAAAAGATTTTTTGGCTGCGGAGCTTGAGCATTTCCACTTACAACACTTATTTGCAACGTTTTTCAATGATAGATAAGCGAATTGCAATGACGAATTACCAGTATTTTTCTTATTTGCGATTTAAGGTGGTCTCGCGGATGCGGGGGATTTGATGATAAGTGGTAGGGCGGGGGGGGGATGGTTCTTCCTTGACTTGTCGTGACGATTCAATCCCGTGCGGGGAGATTGTTCTCCAAAATGCGAAAGCTAATAAGTACTGAAAAAGTACAGTTTCTCATTGAAGACACCTGAAAAATTGATTGATAAGCAAAGCAAAAACTGACCATTTCATCTTATCAGTAACATACACATGGCAATGCCCTACTCGCGTCCCTCCATTGCCATTTCCCACCAATTGGAACAAACAAAAGTGTGTCTGAAATCAACGCAGCCTGAAGAATCTTCCCACTAAAATCAATCATGTCAATCAGTCAATGTTTAAAAACTGAATTGATAACATTTTTGGTCCTTATCACTCCACACTTTTGTATGACTGCTTCAAAAACGGTACTCTACGATGGTGCTGTCCGATCCAGCCAGTTGTGCTAATCATGACCAGGTATCTTTTAGGGCCGCTTTCCTTGACGTTCACTATTTGAACTTACTAGTAAATTCAGTGCTGTTACTGCTGTTCATCCATTTTCTCGCTATCACCAGAGCATCGACTGAGAGAACAGAATTTCAACCGATTTCCACTGGTGATGCATAAATTCATCTTTAACATCATCAGTGTCAAAGAAGAGTTTATGCACATTCATGCGTATGTGTCAGTGCCGAGAAGACCATTAACATTTCGAAAAATACCATAAGGCATTTGCGAATATCTTAAATTTTTGAATCACCACAAAGTTTCATTTCATACTTTTGAGGAGTTGCTTACATTCAGGTACAATTGGAGAAACTTGAAATAGAATGGCTCGTAGACTTCGACAATAAAGTTCTCGAGGGTGAGACCACTCAAACGTTTCGTGTCATCAAAAACAATGTGACATCCATTGTAAGTTGTTTCTAATGTCGCTGACTGATACAGTCTTAAAATGTTCAATCGAACATGGTGAATCCATCGCTCTTGTTCATAAATTCCATATGATTTCATGGGAACGAACATTTTTCTCGCTGTGATCTTGACCTTAATTCTCATTTAAATAAACCACTGTCTAATTGTAAGGAAGCTGCCTTGAAACTAATTCTCAACCTATTCATTGCTTCAGTTTTTTGCAGAATTTAGATTGTCGCGACATAACCATTGAAAGTATCGATGTGAATGAAACACCAGCCGACTATACACGAACACCTCAGTATGAGGGTAAAAACGTCTTTGGTGACAAACTGTCGATCAGTACCGCAGAGCATGCACCTGGGAGTGTAATGTACGTCAATAGATTGTTGGCTTGAACAACCTTGAGTTTGCACGAACAAATACAATGATTTTATACCAATAAAAAAGTAGAATGTCCCAAAACCATCCAATCGATGTTTCATTGAAATATATTGGAAAATCAAACCGAAAACCCCTTTAACTGAAAATTGCTTCCAAAATGATTGCATGAATACTGTTTATTTATTGCCATGAATACTATAATTTATGAAATACATACAAGAAATACATGGTGCCATGAAGTACAATGAAAAAATCGGTTGTATTACATCGTGTTTGTTGTCGTTAACTGTCGAAAGCGTTCGATGTTTCCAGAAAAGTGCATATTCGTTTTAAGACGTCCTCGAAGGCCGGAGCGGTGCAGTGGATAAGCACTGAGCAAACCACTGACCATATCCAACCGAGTGCCTTCACGTTCTGTCAACCAATTGGCGCGCGTTCGATACTGCCTTGCATGGACACACCAATAGTGAAATGCCCTGTTTATTCGAAGGTATCTATCTCGAGCACTTACCTGATTTGCGTCAGGAAGTGGCAGAGGATGAGAAGACACAGCAGACTGTGATGAACTTATCGAGTTCTAAACGAAATTTGTCTTCCCTGAAAAAAATCCCTCTTACGATCAGCTTGAGCCGTCGTTCGATTGCAGTTATCAGTTCCGTCCACAACGATTGGTTTAATGGCTGCGATTCGGGTCGGAGAAGTTGAAAAGGACAAACCACGAAATGGCTACGATACTTATAGTTATGAGCAAACGGTGAGTCGAGGGCACTTTTCATCTTCGACGTCAGAAAGACGTGGAAAATTTGCTGTGAGAAGTAACTCTAACAACGATTAACGCCCACAAATTCGATACGATCGATATTGATGAAATGAATTTTCAGATACCAATCCCCAGTTACCTGATCTCATTTATTGTTGGAGTCTTTGAATGTCAGGATATAAGTGATCGTATTCGAGTATGGGCAGAGCCATCAATGCTGGCAAAAGCAGCATATGAATTCGCAAATGTAAGTTCATCAATTCCAGATTGTTCGATCGAACTTGTTACCGAGTTTTTCACTGGAATTTTACAGCGAAGCCAAATTCACTTCTAATACGATAAAAGTGATCGATGTTTTCAGCCAAATAGCCCTGATCTAGGCCATCAAATTGATCACCAGTTTATTCTCAACAACGAATCGCACACTTCATGAAAAGCATATTTCAGAGTGAAGAGAGTCTGAAGTTGGCTGAAAACTTATTCGGTGATTTCGTTTGGAAACGGAGCGATATGATCGTTTTGCCAAAATCATTTCCGCTTGGTGGCATGGAAAATCCGTGTCTAATCTTCGTTAATCCAACAATTATTGTGAGTGTTTTTAAAACCTTCTCGCTGTTCAACGTGACATTCCTCGTAAAGACAATTCTCGAAATGAGAGAATTGTAAAAATTCGTCTCCATATTTTCCACGTAAACGATGATCATCCGAGTGGTGAGCGGATCTGATAGCGAACTGATCAAATTCAATTGAATAGTTTCATATGGTGGTTGCAGACCGGAGATCGATCTGAAACAATGCTACTGATCCATGAACAAATTCACGCATGGTGGGGTAATCTGGTGACGAACGCCAGTTGGGGTGATATGTGGTTAGTGTGGCGATTTGATGTGCCTTCACAACATACCTAATATTGTACCTATTGTAATTCAGCAAATATCTCACTATCATCAACTGGAACCATTAGTGATCAGTAATGAAAATGCGTTGGAATGGAGGCCACGAATTTCAGTCATTATTAAAGAAACAAACGCCCTAAATGAGCCATAGCAAAAGCAAATAGTGATATCACAAAGTGGTCTCTAAAATTCGATGGCAGTAAAATTGAACAACGAAAGCTGTCGAAATTAATTTTCGGAACACGTGGTTTTGGGGTAAAAACCTGAAGTTAGCAGTTGAGAATGCTCAAAATCAAGATACCAGTGGTGTGTTCTTGAGTGAAAATCCTCACAGATTCAGGTTAAACGAAGGATTCACAACGTATTTTGAACGTCGCATTGGTGCGTTACTTTATGGTGAGCAATATCGACAGTTTAGCAATTTGAAGGCGTGGAGTTCAATTCTGGAGCCACTGGTAGGACAGCGAGTTTGATTTGCAGTCTTTTAGTTAGCTGCTCAAATTCCGAGAATCTTAACAACTTATTTGCAATCACCCAATGCGAAAAGCTTTAATGGGCAGTGAATATTCACCGGATTAATCGGATTCCCGAGGAACTGATTTTTGTAGCGTTGGGCAGAATTTGGCTTCAGGTGTTCGAGAGGTTTAGTCCGAGTCATCCATACACACGACTCATAATAGATCAAAGTGGTGGAATCGATCCGAACGAAGCGTTCTCGTTGAACTATTACGAAAAAGGACAAGTCTTTCTGTACTTCCTCGAGACTAAAATCGGTCGAGAAGGTTGTTTGTGTTCATAATGTGCATAAAAATTGCTATTAAGGCATTATTTTAGTACCAAACAGCACTTCCTCATATTAACCGTATTGTTAGAGTTGAGCTAAGGGAAAATTTTGAGCCATGATTAGCGAATTACCTGAAGTAGGCGATCGATTGTTGTTCGATCATACCGCGAATAACCTCTCCCTCTTTTGATTTAAACTCTTGAAAACATGATCCATCAAGTTCTTCTCAACAATGTAACTTAGCTATAGGGCAAATCTTACAATCCACTCTAAAAATTTGACGAACCACCAGTATTCTTTAAGAAAATTAAGAAATTTTTCAGATTTTGATACGTATTGCCGTAATTACTTGGAGACTTTCGCACGTAAAACGGTTGATTCAATAACATGGAAGCAACATTTCATTGGTTTCTTCAGAAAAAAGACGCATCTTCTTGAGGATATCGATTTTGATGCGTGGATGTACGGACCAGGATTGCCACCCATAAAACCGAAGTAAGATGACAATTGTGAGCTAATAGACGATCATCTCACAATCAGTATGAATTTGATCCATAGTTAGCAATGAAGATCAATCGAACCGAATTTGTAATAATAACTCAAATCTTTCCAGTTACGATGACAGAATGCTACGAGAATGTATGGAGTATGCGGAAATTTGGAAAACTGAATCCGAAAATCAACTTAGGAAGAATTCAAATAATTTGATAAGACGATTCAACAATTTCATACCAATACAACGTGTCGAATTCCTAAGTTTATTAAGAATTGTAAACGCTTAATGAATATTTTATTACTTTAAGTAATCTCCGAGTGTCCTCTTCAAATGAACAACGAAATGACATACCATAAATCACTGATTTCAGAGTGAAA